ATCACAGGTTTACCACACTGACAACTGAAGGTCAGAAGAAGGACAGTGAGAACAGTAACCTTGCAGTCAAAACAGATTGCAAAAAGGGGGCCAGTGTTCAATGTGTACCAGGTCTCATCCAGTTTACTGGTGTGAAACGTTCAAGTTGAAGCCTGTCAATGAAAGAATTGAGTTTGTCAAGATGAAGCGAATTTGCTTCAATTGTATCAATTCTGTTGATCATTCTGCAAGATCGTGCAAGTCTCCAACACGTTGCAAGGCACCAGAATGTGGCAGACCTCATCATACTGTTACATCTTTCTTGGCCCAGCCGTGAAAGAAACATTGTTCACCAAACCAATAACGTTGAAGCCGCAGGAGTTCCAGCTGTTACCCTAGATCCCCCGATGGTCAAAACACTACCCCGAGCTTGTGTGCTACGGCAACTATGGCAGAATCCTCCAAGATCCTTTTGCAGATCATTCCCCTCAAGGTTATTGGTGACAATGGTAGGAGTATCACTACTTATGGCCTCGTAGATTCCGGCTCCAATGTGACAATGATTGTCCCATCCCTTGTTGAACAGCTCGAGATTCAAGGTGAAACCAGCCAGCTCTTCCTTTCTACAGTAAATCAAAGAGAAAAAAGGGAACAAGGTGTGAAAGGAAATTTTAAAATTGCGTCAGTCATCGACCAGGATACTGGAGAGATTGCTGTACGTAATGCTTGGGTGTTAAGATCTAGCTATTCCACTCAAACATGTCTTGGTTCGCAAGAGAATGGGACAATGGTCACACATACGTCAGGTACCTTTCCTTGAAGTCGTAAGGAGCAAAGTGTCTGTCCTCATTGGCACGAATGTCCAGGACGCCTTCATCCCACTCGAAGTCAGGAAAGGAGACCCAAACAAGCCTTTGGCAATAAGATGTTGCCTGGGCTGGAGTATCCTCGGTGGTTCTGCTAACGGTAGGATAGGCACCAGTTTAACCTCAACCGAGTTTCTTGTGAGGAGATTTCTCTGAGTTGTCAACTCGAAGACTTCTGGCGAGTTGAGTCTTATGGAACTGAGAAAGTCTCTAAAATCAATGTCAGTGGAGGATCACAAGGCCATGAAGATTATCGAGAATACTATCTCAAAGGTTGATGGCCATTATCAGATTGGCTTACTTGGGAAGCAGGAAGACCCTGACCTTCCTTTCAATAGGGTTGCAGCTCAAGCCAGACTTCATCATCTAAAGAGGCATTTCTCCCGTGATCCTGACTTGGAAGCCAATTATAGAGCGGTCATTGAGGAGTACGTTAATAAGGGTTATGCAAGAAAGCTGACTCCTGAAGAGGCCACCAAGAGATCCAGAATCACGTGGTACTTACTGCATCATCCTATCTTCAACATCAACAAGCCCGACAAATGCCATGTGGTTTTTGACGCAGCTGCCAAATCCGACGGCACTTCCCTGAATGATCAGTTGTTCCAAGGCCCAGACCTTACGAATAGTTTAACTGGTGTACTCATCCGCTTTCCTGAGGAAGAAATCGCATTTACAGTAGACTTAGAAGCTATGTTCCATCGGGTCAAGGTTCTCCCCAGGGATGCTGATGCCTTGAGATTCCTATGGTGGAGCGGTAGCTTGGATAACCCCCCCCTGATGAGTACCAAATGCTCGTTCACATTTTTGGAGCAGCCTCGTCACCTTGTTGTGCCAACAGGGCAGTACGACAGACAGTAGATGATAATGAAGAGCAGTTTGGCCCAGAAGTAATCAACACGGTGTGTAGGAACTTCTACTTCGATGATGTCTTGAAGTCCGTTCCGAACGAAGAGAATGTGATCCATCTTACTGAGCAGTTGATCCAGTTAATGAAGGAAGGCGGTTTCCACCTAACGAAGTTTACTAGTAACAGCCATAAGCTTCTGGCCACCCTTCCTGAGAAAGAACGAGCGAATCCTGCTTTGAATCTAGATCTTGATCAGCTACGTATTGGTCGTGCACTTGGATTACATTGGGACGCAGTCTCGGATACATTCCTGTTTAAAGTCACACACACTAACAAACCGCCAACCAAGTGTGGCATTCTTTCAACGGTCAGTTCCCTCTTCGATCCGCTTGGTTTTATGGGTCCCTT